GGGGGGGGGGGGGGTGGAGGTAAAACCAGGCCTGAGCCCATGTGGCAAGGCAAGTTTATTCTACAGCACATTTAGTGGACAAGACAATTCAAAAGGCTTCACAGAGAATTTAAAAGCAGAAAAACAAGAAAAGAAAAATTAGGCAAATGAAAACTGAAAGGTGCAGATAAAATAAGTCCCATTTCCATCTGCACATTTTCAGATTCAAACACTGTAAGAGTTGGGTTCTGTCTCACATCTTCAAGAAGATCCAGGTTTTAGGAGCCTGGAGCTGAAATGAAGCTTCACCTCGTTAAGTTCTGACTCTGGGCCCCATCAGGAGACCAGAACCTGGTTTAGTTCTGACTCTGGGCCCCATCAGGAGACCAGAACCTGGTTTAGTTCTGACTCTGGGCCCCATCAGGAGACCAGAACCTGCTTTAGTTCCATCAGGAGACCAGAACCTGGTTTAGTTCTGACTCTGGGCTCCATCAGGAGACCAGAACCTGGTTTAGTTCTGACTCTGGGCCCCATCGGCTGGTTCCTCTGGCTTTAACGGGTCAGAACGGTGCCAGACCTCTGTGATCTGACCCCTCCCTCCTCTGTGATCTGACCCGGTCCTCTGCCCCCCCAGGTGCTCCTCCCCAGATCGAGGCCCTCCCTGAGCAGGTGAGTGCTGAGGCTGGCCTCCCCCTGACGGTGGCGGGGGTTTTCTCCGGGGACCCCCCCCCCTCGGCCACCTGGCTCCGGGCCGGGCGGGCCCTCCCGGGCGGGGACCAGCGGGTGCGGGTCCAGAACTCCCCTGAGGGCTCCACCCTGCAGATCCAGAATCTGAAGCAGGCCGACGCCGGAAACTACACGCTGCAGCTGAGCAACGCGCTGGGCGCCGCCGCCGCCACCGTCACCGTCACCGTCCGCGCCATCTAAACCTCTGAACACCACCTAAACACCATCTAAACACCATTTAAACCTCTGAACACCACCCAAACACCACCTAAACACCATCCAAACACCATCTGAACACCATCTAAACCTCTGAACACCACCTAAACACCATTTAAACCTCTGAACGCCACCTAAACACCATCCAAACACCATCTGAACCTCTGAACACCACCCAAACACCACCTAAACACCATCTGAACCTCCAAACACCATCCAAACACCATCTGAACCTCCAAACACCATCCAAACACCATCTGAACCTCTGAACGCCATCCAAACACCATCTAAACACCATCCAAACACCATCTGAACCTCTGAACACCACCTAAACACCATCCAAACACTATCCAAACACCATCTGAACCTCCAAACACCATCCAAACACCATCCAAACACCATCTGAACCTCTGAACACCACCCAAACACCATCTAAACACCACCTAAACACCATCTGAACCTCCAAACACCACCTAAACACCATCTGAACACCATCTGAACCTCCAAACACCACCTAAACACCATTTAAACACCATTTAAACACCATCTAAACACCATCTGAACACCATCTGAACACCATCCAAACCTCTAAACACCATCCAAACACCATTTAAACATCATTTAAACACCATTTAAACCAGACTAAACGCTAGTTACACCCCCCCCCCCCCCACCCCAATCCCACACTCTTTATTCAGTCTATTAGCAACAACAACCTTACTCGATGAAGATCTGGATTATTCTTGTAAATATGAACTATTTTTGTACCAAACTTGACATTAATTTATGCCAAACTAGACTAAAGTCTAAAGTTGTTATAAAATGTGCCATATTGGACAATTATGACGTAGGATGTTTGAACCTCTTTTCTGTGACATGTACATAATGTATATAGCCGAATTGACCGGTTATGGGAATGTATGCATTGTTATTTATGACAATAATATGAACTGAAACTAAATGAAACTGAACGCAGGAGAAAGTTTCGGTAGGAGCGAATACCCTGTTAAACTGAGAAACTAAACTCTGTGCCTCAACGACGAGTTGAAGTCCTAAGATTGCCTCGGCAGGTAGAGAGGCTCCCTGCTGAAGTCTGAACCAGAGAGACTCCGTTTATGCTTCTGGACGCACCTCGGTGTGTTACTGGGTTGTGGCGGGGGCTTAAGGCCTCGTGCCGGACCCACTGAGTCCCACCGACTGGACGAACCCTAACCGGGCTAGGGTTAGGGTTAGGGTTAGGGTTAGGGTTAGGCGTGTGTGTGTGTGTGTGTGTGTGTAGCTGTAGTTGTTTCACTGGGCGGGGGGGCTGGCTGCCCCCACCCCTGGGACTCTCTGGGGGGGGGGGGGGGGCGGCCCCCCCCCCCCGGGGGCCCCGGGGGGGGGGGGGCAGTCAGGCTCCGCCCCGCACTTTGGTTTTTCTTGATCTGCTGATGTAGGACTATATTTATCCTCCTTGAGTTTTATGTATTTCTGATTTAATAAAGCATGATTTCAGCACTACCAACTCTCTCTGTGTGTTTTTGTCTCCTGCTTTCTTGCTTTAGCATTAAGGAAAAGGTAATTTTATGACCTTTAATCAGAATCAGAATAGGGTTTATTGCCAAGTAGGAATTAGACTTACAAGGAATTTGGTAGAAGAAGTTTGAAGTTTGGTGCACAACACAACACTTCTATGAGAAGCAGGAAATAAAATGTAGAAATAAAAATATAGGACAGAAATGATAAAACTGAAAAATACAATCTTTAAAAATATAGATCTGAATGTACAAATGAACAATCTTTAAAAATATAGATCCGAATGTGCACCAAAGGTCCTGTTCTGACCTTTAATGGGGGGGCAGTTAGTCCGGTACAATAGAAGTGAGAAAGCTTTTCATAATAAACACAGGCTGGTGCCAGGAAGCCGAGCTGGAGCTGAACGTCCAGAAAACAAAGCACACGTGTACTGACCTCTGACCTGCAGCCCTCCACAACCATCAGAAATGAGCACTTCACCAGCATAAGTGTCTTGGGTCTATCCTCCTGAGACCCGAGCTTTTATTTGGAACGCATTTTAGCTTTTTTTTTAAAGATATATGAGATACATATTTAATTAAATGTTTTTACAATTTTGTTCTGACAGTCCCATTGACTCATTTACAGTTTTTCTATTACACAATAAGAACATGATTGGATGGAAATGTATAAAACCATTTTACTTTAGATTTCAAACAGTGTCTGATAGCATCTGCTATGAAGCCAAGAGGTCAAAGCTGAAAGAAAAAAAGAAGTATCATGGTAAAGAGAGACAAAAATGCAACGTCCACTTATGAGGACACAGGGTCTCAGGAGGTTAACATAGATAACAAATGATGCTGTGTATGCTAATACAGCCTCAGAAAGCTAGCCGGGTTTCAGGTTAAAAAGAGTCTGATGAACATGTTCTACAGATCCTTTCTGGAGTCCATACTCACCTCCTCTGCCCTCTGCTGGTACGCTAACGTAAAGAATAAAAACGCCATATCCATGATTATTCAGGAAGTAAAATCACAGGTGTCCAACAGAAAAACGAGACTGAACTAAACAAAGAGGTCATTAGGAAGCTGAGTCCCTCTGGATAATTACACCCATCACCAAACAGCCCATTCCAGTTTAGACCCTCTGTTTCCCGTTATAAATACACACCCCCCGGACCAGCCAATTCCAGTTTTTCCCCTCTGTTTCCCGTTATAAATATACACCCATCACCAAACAGCCAATTCCAGTTTAGACCCTCTGTTTCCCGTTATAAATATACACCCCCCGGACCAGCCAATTCCAGTTTAGACCCTCTGTTTCCCGTTATAAATACACACCCATCACCAAACAGCCAATTCCAGTTTAGACCCTCTGTTTCCTGTTATAAATATACACCCATCACCAAACAGCCAATTCCAGTTTAGACCCTCTGTTTCCCGTTATAAATATAAACCCCCCGGACCAGACAATTCCAGTTTATACCCTCTGTTTCCTGTTATAAATACACACCCCCCGGACCAGACAATTCCAGTTTAGACCCTCTGTTTCCCGTTATAAATACACACCCCCCCGGACCAGCAGAAACAAACAAACTCAGTCCCTCCGCTCCACCAGGAAAAGCAGTCAGAATTATACATGTAGGCCTTCACTTTATATATTCATATATATTATTATACATATTCATCTATTTATTCACCTTACCTTTTATAGATGGAATTGTTGGGTTTCTGTAATTAACTTCAGAGTAGGTCTGAGCTGCTCTGTTTGGAAAGATAACTGTTGTTGTGATGTGGGGCTATAGAAATAAAGTTGAATTTAATTTTATCATTTTTAAAATATTTTATGTGTACACTGTAAAAAAAATTCTGTTGTTTTTACAGAAAGCAACTGGCAGCTGTGGTTACCAGAATAATTCTGTAAAAAATACAGTACAGATGTAAACAACTTTACAGAACAACTTGTA